ACAAATCATTAATAATGTCAAGGTGTGGGAAATCTTCTGCCATAACTCCTCCATTATTAACGGATTCCATTAAGGATATCATGCTATGCCTCTCCCCACTTAAAACCCCATTTTCATGTAACAGGCTTGAATGGACAGGCCTTTGATGGGCTTGTTGCCGATAAGAGTGATGTCTTGAAAGGCCCTCCTGAAAAATTAGGTTCTCTTGCTTGTGAAGTTCCATGGATTCTTGTTTGAGAAGTGGCAATGTCTGAAATTGTGGATGTGCCCTCTCATCCTTCTGCCGTGGTTGCGCACGCTCTTGTTCCCCCTCATCCCCTTCTTCCTCCTGCTGCTGATGCAGCACCTCCGGAGTCACAGTCCCAAAAGTGATGCCGGCTGGTGATCGCCTCCCACTTGCAACGCTCTGGCTACAGCTGTACTCTTGTAGGAGCAAATCGTTTGACAAGGACTCTGGTAAACCCTGCGAAATCACGGGAGATTGCAGAGCCACTGGTGCGGCCGACGGGGAGGCAGCTGCCTCTGTCCGTCCACTTTGGGTACCCTGCATGGATCCTATCCGCATCTTGGAAGGTGTCAGAGGAGGAGAGGACGCTGAAGCTGTAGGTGCAGCTGAACATACTGATGGAGCACTTGCGTGGGATGCGCTTGGCGTTGCGGGAGTGTTAAAAAGCACAGCTGAAGTTGCTGCTCCTGACACGGAAGGTGAAACTCCACCGTGCACACCTCCAGAACTTGCAACAGGATGTAAAGCTAAACCTCCTAAACTTTTTATTCTCCCGGCAGCAGCATTTCTGTATGAAGGAGACACTGGAGGGCTAATATGCGTATTTCCATTACAATGGGCTCCTACAGAAGATCCTGCACCCAAGACCAATCGGCCTGCTGCACTCACAGATCGCGATAGCGGAGGTTGAGCTTGCAAAATAGGGCCTAGACTGCCTGGTCTCTGAGGAGGTACCAAACCAGGTGCACTTGCAGGACGTGAAATCACAGGTAAAGTTGCAGAAAAGGTGGCGGAATAGCTTGAACTTGTTTCTTCTACCCCAGCGGCCAAACTAGCTCCTGATGATGATGGAGGCATGCCTACACGAGGCGGCCTGGACACTTCAATGCAGCGGGTTTTTGCTGAGGCAGATGGTCTGGGCGTGCCAACTTCCACTTCAGCTGAATTCAGACCATGCCTGCTACTACTGTCAACATTGTTCCCTGCAAAAGGTAGAAACCACTTGCTATTGTTGTCTCCGTTATAAACTGCACCACCTGCAGCTGTTCCGTTGCCACTGAATATTGGTGAATGATCATTTGCGTTATTCGTACTTGCCGTTGTTTTGCTTGATCTAATCTGTTGGCCAGTTAACTTTTCCACATCAGGGGTTGCAGAGGAAAAGCCGCTGCTACTTTCATCGGCTGGTGAGGAACTTGGGGCACTCGACGCACCACTAGGTCTAGATCCTACAGAAGCTTCTTCTGGCAGACTAATATGAGAAGAGGGTCTGTCTAGTCTCATTTGATGTTGGAACAGGCTAACCTGCTCCTGTAGCATTACAACCTCCTCATCCTGCATATGAAACCATATGAAGGAAGCTATTAAAAAATTATCTAATTAGTTTTAATTTTAATTTAAAAACAAAACAAAACAAAACAAGAAGAGTGCCGCCTCTGACCTGTGTAAGGAGACCCGAACTAGAGGATCCTCCCTTCACTCTGAACCAAACATGACGAGTAGAGGACGTCCGACACAAAAGAATTGAACAAGAGCAGTACATTTGCTAGGGAAACTTATTCGCCCATATACCTTTTCACAAAGACGTTGCTCAAGCCACCGTACACGCTCCCTAAGTGAAAGAATCACAGTCTCATTATCCACCCCTGCAGAACTGCAACTGCTGCTAGCTTCACCAGGACCACTGGGATCCAGAGCAGTCGCACGCATGATGGTACCATCAGCTTCTAAAAACCTCCCATCCTGTTCATATCCATCGCTATCTCCTCTACTCCTGGCTCTGTACAATACGAGCAATAGCAAGCAGTGAGCACACACAATCATAAGCACGAGAATGATGGGTACTAAGCAACGTTTTAACAGACCCTAAACCTGTTGAAATCTGCTTTTCGACATCGTACATGCTCTAGCCGCGACTACTAGATAAACCCCTCGCTGACAAGATGCCAAACAATCTGCAGACGTAAATCAATCCCTCGAGGAATCCAAGAGAAAAGCTCACCTCGTGAGAACGGCGTGATTCTGATCGGACAAGCCTGGTCGCATGCTATATGTTCCACCATTCATAGAGGGTCTCACTGAAGGAAGAGAGTCAGACGAGCATGTAGAG